TATTGAGAAGTGTGTTATCACTTGCCAGTCACCATTCTGCCATAAATAAGCACAATGGCAGACACACTAAACTAAAGGGCAAAACAGGACCATTCGAATATGCCTAATGTTAAGGTAGTGTGACATTGCACATATGCAATACCTGTATATCAGAAGTAGTTAGGGTGACTATCACTATTATGGTTGCATAAACAAGTCGTAGGATGACTTAATTGAATTATCTCTTCTATCTATTTGGAAAAGGAAGAGTTTTGAGGTGTCATGATTAGAGAACTGTTGAATCAATTAGTTTCAAATTAGAAAAATTCTAACCCTATTAAAGTTACTATACCATTTTTGAGATTTCTGATTCTCCCTCTCAGGAAGAGGTAATGACTCATAGAGGCAATGAGTCAAAATCATAGACAAAAAGGCTCTGGATTATAAAATGCTTACTCATGAGGGTTACTTTATGTGCCTAAACAGGACCACGTGTGTAGTGCTTCTGAGCTGTGTTTGCACAAGGAACAGTTAATTTATAACTATTCATTTATTGAGAGGTATACCTGAAGGACAGGGAGATTACCCCCAAAATCTGGGGGTGTATTGTTTTGAATTTAAATCTAGACTGGTTGTTGGTTTTTTTGTTCAGTTCAAATGTTGTACATTTCCTTTCATTAGCTATCTATATTTCACTCATTTGAAGGAAATGTATAACTCTGGCCACTGAACAATACCTGGATTATTCATCTCATCCACTACAGTTTAAGAAAACATGGCCATGCATACCCCAGGATAATAGGAAGCTCAATTTAGTAACTCACTACCATAATGTAATGACCCTTTTCCTCAGAGAGCTGCTTTTGACTCCAACCCAAACTAAGGCAAAGGAAACTCATTTTGACTGTAATGGCTACAGGCATAATGAGATTAGGCTGACAAAATCATGTTCCATTTTTTCACAGCCTAATATATCCCGTTTAAAAACTCTTCCTCTACTTGGAGGAGGAAATAGTGATGTCATCTTGTACCTCATAAGTTTATATTGTTTTATTTTTCCCACATGAAGGTTAGCTTTTACAACGAAAGGTATGGCACAGCTTGGGAATATCAATTCTGATTATAAATATTCAGGCAAAGTTATTTCCTAGCTCAGTAAGACTAAATAAGCACTTTAGCAAACCACATATACTAAAGTGCTCTTGTATAGCCCATTTACCAGAGACCATCATCCTCTTCATTTCCTGACCTTGACATGTGCTTAGTTAATTCATCCATTTTGTGTATATTTCACACATTATAGGAAGCCTGAGGTGGTTGGCAGGTGGCAGGACTTTCAGTTGTTCCGAATGCCATGAATCCAAATTAACCATGGCTGCCTTTATATTAGCCTTTTACATTAGCTTTACACTACTCGCCCTTTAGCACTTGGTGGTATTAAACACCCTGTAATCATACGTTTACAGAAAAGCAACTACTATTTCACTATGAGGGCAATCAGCCTTGGCAATTATTGCTTTCAATTCCTGTTTAAATGTGTACGAAATACCTTTGTGAACACCACCTTATGACTGTTTCCGTCTTTTCAGAAGAGCATATGGTTCGCATGCGACTATTTACCACAGGTGTGAGGAAACTTTGTTTTCTATATAAATTTATTTATTTCATTTTTCAGATTAAAATTTTGCAGTATCGAACATACAACATAAAAACAAGATTCCAAGGAGTCTTTTGGACTTCCCTTGTCCCCTTTGTGAGTCCTATTGTTAGTCATTTCCTCCTGCATCTTTTATGATAATTCAAAACTTTTACATCTCCATTTTGTCCAAAATTCACTATTAAGCTACAAGTGATATTCCAATCCTATTAACGATTGTAACTGTTTACAATGGTTTTTAAGATAGGTTACATATTTCCCCCATTCCTTATTAAAATTTTGGTCTTCCTGATTTCTGACTCTTCCGGTCATTGTAGCCATTTTGGCATACTCTATCAACTTGATCTGCCATTCTTCTCTGGTAGGGACTTTATCTTCTTTCCATTTCTGGGTCAATAACATCCGCGCAGATGTGGTCACATACATAAATAGTCTTTTTTGCTCTTTTGGGATTTCAGTACCTAGAAATCTTTGAGGGTTTTTTTTTTTGTTTTTTTTAAAGAAAATGTTATTTTAAACATTTTTTTCAACTCATTATATATCATTTCCTAGAATTCTTTTACTACCTTGCATTTCCACCACATATTATAAAAGGTACATTCTTCTTCCTTACATTTCCAGCATACATTTTACACTGTTTTATACATTTTTGCTAATTTGCTAGGAGTTAAATACTACCAGTACATTTTCACATAATTTTCTTTCAATGCATAACTTTAAATCCCAATTCCATAACTTCTGTGAGGAACCTTTTTCAGCCCGAGGGCATCACTCCCTTATGGGCAAAAGTGACTCTTATCTTTGTACAGCCACATAAAAGCCAGAGGTTTTTACACATGCAACTCTCCATCAATGCAAGCAAGAGATATGACCACAACTGAAGGACACATTCCAGCCAAGCAGGGAGCAGGGGCAGGAGCAGTGAGGGGCAGGTCCCCAGCCCTGATCTATTCCTTGACAATTGTGACCTCAAGTGATGACTTGCATAGGTGAGTGGGCTATCACAGATCAAATACCAGAGACAGAGAGTGATAATCAATGTTAGCCATACTCTGAGTAAACATTACTTAAGCTTATTGATTTCAAGTGGTCTGCCCTGAATATGACTTAGCTGGATATTACCCAGAATGTTCACACTGTCTTTTCAAGTAAGATACACACACACACACACACACACACACACACACAAATTTTTCATTTATTTTCCATTTAATATTAGATTCACATCATCTTTATCCACTATACTGCCTTGGCTCTTGGAGCCTGTCGACTTCCTTCTCTCCAGCCTCATAGCTCTCAAAATTATCCTTTATATCATTGTAATTTATACATTTTCCAATTCTAATTACACTCATTGCAGAATATCTCAAAAATTTAAATAAATATAGAACGATTTAAAAAAAATCCCATTGCAAGTCTTCAGACAACCCTGCTAGTGATTTTAATTGATTACAATGTTCTTTTAGATATCGTATGTATTTACTCCAGTCTTTTTGGAATACTTGATCATGCTGGTTTCGGATTTTTCCTGCCAGCTTCGACAGTTCTGCAAAGTCCATCATCTTCATCTGCCACTCTTCTTTCGTTGGTACTTCTTGTTGTTTCCATTTTTTACCTAAAAGAATTCTTGCCACAGTTGTTGCATACACAAACAGTCTTTTATCTTCCTCAAGTAAGATACTTTTCAATGGAGTTGCTAAGTTTACAAATTCAGCCACCAGTCATCAAGTATATAGTCATCTAAGCTGAGTCTGAAATTATGCATTGTACATTTGAGAACCAGATCTAAGTGGCGTGTTGATACTTCCAGGGTGGAATGCAGGGAGCATCTACTGTACAGACAGTATCTTGAATGTGGACAGTTAAGCCATTCCTCATTCTCCATTATAAATCAAATATTAGATTATCCTATAAACATCCTAGGCCAGCTATTAATCACCGGCGCATGAAGCAAGATGTAGAGTTAGTCCTTTGTATTCCTGTGAAATTTGGCGTTTGAGCTATTGGAGAGCTGAGAAGACTCCGTCGGTCAGATCGTGACCTTTTGAGGACACGCATTCCTGCATGCTTTTGTTCCAGACAGGGTGACGGTCCAATCTTTGAGGCTTGGGAGGCAATTGGATTCTTACAGCTCATTGGGGGCATATCCTCAGTCATGGGTGGTTGGCCTGTTAATGACCTGTCTGAGCTGGAGAGCAGCTTGTTGTTGACCCAGTTGCTCTGACACAGCCTCTTCTGCTATGGGCCTGTGGGTTTATGAGGGGCCTGAAACAGGTAATGCATGAAAGTAGACTGCCAGGATGTCTTTATAAGCTTATTTGTGGGCAACCTGTTCCTATGTTGGTGCTGTACCAATGTCCCGCAGATCCCTGCATCCTTACAAATAATTCACTCTGCAACTTTGTTAGAGTACTAGAGTGGATTTGGCAAAAATCTGTGCCAATTGAGGATGCATTTGCTGTTGCTCTTTCTTTCTCCTCCCAGATTCTTACCTCCTACAAGCAGCTACTTTCTACTTCCCCATCAGAATATCCACCTTCTGCCTTTTTGGAGAGGCAATAAATCTGCTCTGACCTCTCAGGGTTGTTTGAAGAACCCAAGCATCCACAAAGCCCTCAAATAGAATAGGGATTTCAGAGAATTCCATCAGAAATGGAAATTCACACAATTCGCATCGCACCTGAGGTCAGGAATAGAAATCATGCAAGCGAATATAAGCAATATTCATGCTCATATATATTTTTAGCCCACAAATGTTACATAAATAGTTATGTTATTTTCTGCATTGTTCTTAATGCTTCCCTTCCACTGAAATTAATTGCACAAAATTGCACAATTAAATAAGTGAGACAAATAATACAAATATACTTTTTACTGGAAGTCATATTTCAGCAGAATGGAAACAGCATTGACTGCAATGAACCCAGGACAGGACAAGAATCACTGCCTCCTTACTTCTTTAGGCATTGATATTGGAGTGAACACAGTAGACAGAGAAATCTCATCCCCAGAAGTGCCTGACTGTATATTTATCTCACCTGAATTAATTCTTTTTTACTTAATAGCCTCTGCTTTGGCCTTCTATATCCCATTCATCACATTTCACCATTCTGATTTTGCTACTTTTGTGAGATCCACTGTGATTCCCTCACACACGCCAAGCAATGAGTATTTATTTATCATGTTAGTTGTATATCACCTTTCAGGGCTGTACAACCCTCCCCAGGCAGTTCACATAATAAAACAATTTAAAATAATAAAGCACAAATGTCACAATAAAATAACAGTTCAGGCTGTACACCCCATACATTAAAAGCACATAACTTTCCCCAAATAATCCTGGGAGCTGTCACTTGTTAAGGATGCATGGAATAGCACAGTTAGCAGAGCACAAGACTTTTAATCTCAGAGTCGTGGGTTCAATCCCCATGTTGGGCAAAAGATTCCAGCATTGCAGGGATTGGACTAAATGGCCCTTGTGGGCCCTTCCAATTCTTCAGTTCTATGATTCTGTGATTGTATCTCTGCCATAAAGTACTTTCTCTCTCTCAGCACCCCACTCCCAAATATTAGCACAGCAACACAGGACTCATATCTCACAAAGCAATTGCTTTGATTGAAGGGCAGTGTGGCAGACATGCCCGACCAGCAGTGATGCTTAATTTGTCCTGAAGTCAATCAATTGCTCTGTAGATCTTGTTTTAAAGCACTGTACTGCTGTGCTAGCCACTGAGAAGTAGCCTCTCTTTCCAATTAACTTTGTGTCTCTGATCAAGGAATGGTTTTGTAAACCCAGACTATCTCCCTGAATGCCCTCCAGGCCTTTGTGAAAGTTTTGGTATCTACTTGGTATAAAAAGAATTGCTTATATTCAACTTTGCTGGGACCTATCTATAGGAATATACATAATCCAAGTTCTAACTATCAGAGTTGGCTGTCTCCTCTTAGCAAATTGGATGAATTTCCTCCAATTCTGTCAGTCTTCGAACCAAAGTGTATGTAACTGAGCGTCATGTATATGCAGTTTCGTGCCATGTTTGGTTTTTTAATCACAAAGCACTACTGTGAGGGCTGTAAAGGCTGCCAAAGATCCTGCATGAGGCTTTCCCATTGGATGCTCCCCCCCCCCACTCTCTCTCTCACACATATTTGAAAAAATGAGTGGAGGAAAATATGACAGTTCAGTCCTAGGACAGTGTTGTGGACAGAGCCTAGGAGGTCCTGCATGCAAAGTAGATGTTATACCACTGAACCGGGAAGGTACCAGTAGCTTGCATGCTACCAGCACCCTGGATTTCCACTTTGGTCTTTTGGTATATGAGTTCCCTGCAGCTTTGTTGTTCTATCTATATGGAGTGATAAGGAGGAAAGCTTGGATATTGTGGTTGGTACAGTCAGCAGAGAGGAGCTTGCCATGTCTCTGAAACAGCCCTGTGAAGATGTCACAACATCCCATTCTGTTGCTCCTCCATCTTGAGTGAATCTGCTGTACTTTAGCAGAATTGAAAGTGTGCAAACAAGTACATTCAGTATTTGCACTTTGGCTATCATTCTAAACACAATTACTTGGTAGCATGTTGGCACCAATAAAGCTCAACTCCAGGGAAATGTCTTAAGTAAGAGAGTAAACATGCAAGTTAAAATAGCATGAGCAAACATTTTGGACAGCTTAAAATAATAAGACAAAGCTATCCAAAATGTCCTTATTCTCTCGCCCTTTATCCCTCTGATACATGGAGGACAATCCACTCTAATTTATGGGGGTTCATCATAAATCTCTGTTCTTCACCCCATTAGATGCTGAAATACCCTTTAATGTCAAGTAGATGCTGTTTACTTTGCTTCCCCTTTGTGATAACTGTTGAAACATAGTTCTCCAAACTTCTCTAGATTTGTCCGGACTTTCTCCAGATTTTTCCAAAATGCCCACTTTTGTCATGCAAGAAAATCCTGTGTATCATCTGAAATCTATCATACCAATATAGTGGACTTATAATGGCACATCCAAAAACACTGCAGCCAATTTGAATAGAGTTGGTTCATCTACTGCGACCAGAAGCTCACTGTGTGACTCTGAGCAACTCTCTAATCCAGATCAATTCTCATCAGCACCAGCTGGTTAGGGATGATGGAAGCCGTAGTCCAACTAGATCTGGAGAGCCACAGTGTCCCCACTCCTTACATCCTGAACAGTGTGCTACTAAATTGGTGGCGTTGGTGGTTAGGAGTGCCTGTTTTCAGCTATGACTGGTTTTCCAGCTATGCCTCTTTTTGGACAGTGATGACTTGGTCACAGTACTCCATGCTCTGGTAGCTTCCAGATTAAATTATTTCAATGTGTTCTACATGGAGCTGCTCTAAGAGATGCCTCAGAAACTTCATCCCAAAGTGTAGAAGCCAGATTATTGGCTGGGGTTGCCTTTAGAACTCACAGAACTCTTGTTCTAAAACAACTGCACTGATCACCAGTTTGTTTCTGGGTGTTTCAAGCCCTAAACAACTTAGGCCCCAGATATTAGAGACTGCCAACTTCCCTACAGAACCTGTTTGATGTTAAGATCAGTAGAGGGGACTTCCTGGTAGTTCCACTGCCCTCAGAAGCTTGGCTGGTTTTGGCCCAGGAGAGGACATTCTTTGTGACAGTCCCTAAGTTGTGTAATTCCTCTCCCCACAGTATCTGGAACCTATAGTATACATCTTTCATCAAATGCTGAAGACACATCTCTTTGCCCTTGAAGACACATCTCTTTGCCCTGGGCTTTGGCACTTGAGATGCGTGTTTTCAGGATCCACCTTATTCTCCTGACTGGATCCCACCCTGTAACCTGCTGGTGAAGGGTGAGTAATAATAATAATAATAATAATAATAATAATAATAATTGTAAATGGATTCAGCCCCTTTTTACATTACTTTGCCACTGGTTTCTAGCTAAGTCAGTTCCATCTACATCTATATGAAAGATGAGACATTGTCATCCAAGGGGTTTGTGCATTTCTTACATTGATGTCGGGAAGGTCCCCCAACCTCTATTTATCTCTCTGCATATCCCTCAACCATCTCGATTTGAGTGGGACATCCCAGAATTACAGAAATCTTCCCGTTTTTTGGTCTTGTGCTCTCATGCAAACCAGCTGGCTTGCACCAGAGCGCTGGACCAAAAGACACATGTTTTCTTCGCCTCACGGGCTTGCATGAGTCAGCTGACTCTCATGAGGGCTTGGGACCAAAAAACGAGTGTCCAATTTTGATCAGCTGGATATTGTAGGGTATGAATTATTTGGACTTGTTACATTTGCATCTCCAGCCTTACCCCAAGGTGTTTAGTGCAATCAGAGGGGTCCTCTCATTTTATCTTCACACTGACCAGATGATGTAAGATTCAACATTTGCTCGAGAACATGCACTGAACTTCATGACCAAGGGTAGACTATACATTAAACACATCTCTGATATATGTGCATGCGCACACTTATAAGAATAGCCACAGAAGGCTGTGATTGTAATGAGAAAACAGCAGGGGATGCAGGTCTTTCTCCACTGGTCACCTTTCTATTCAAAATCACTCTACTCAAATTGTTTCTCCCCATCCCCTCCATATGGGAAAACATAAACAGCCAAAGTGCATTGATAGCCGCCATCCCAGCCTTAAAACCAAGAGGAACATTTTCATCAGCAATGACAAATTACCATAAGAATAAATATGAAAACAAGCAGGCTTTCCCTCTACCAATGACAGAGTCTGTTATCTAAACCTTCTAAAGGTACTGCCATTGCTTTTGCCAAGCCTTTGTCCATAAGCACCTTTTTAAGAAAACCACACCAAAAGGTTTATAATTTCCACAAAGCAGTTTCCAAACATAGCTGACACGGCTGGCACTATCTTATAACGGGTACTTATCCTTTATCTTTATCCTTAATTTTCCTCTGTTGTATTTCTCAGCATAAAGCAAACCAAAAACTAGTATTTCCTTTAGAGGCGACATATCAGAAGCCTAAAAGGTTGTTTCATGTCTTTGCAGGAAGTACCTGTCCAGCCTATTGATCCATGACACAAAACTGAGGGAGTTGCTAAGACTAGGAAGCCTCCAAGAAAGACATAAAGCTCATTATTCGCAGGTTCAGTTTGAGCATGCCATGAATCTCCTAAGTTTCCTACTATTTTCCTTTCAGTTGTCTGTGATCAGTGCTGCATATATTAAACCTGGCCTGCAGTGCACCACAGACACCCTTAACAATGCTGTTAAATCATTCACTGGGTGGCACCCAAGAGCCAGCTGAGAGATGTATTGAATTGCAGACACTCTCTAATACACACATTTAAACAATTTCCTCCGTCTTCAGTGAAATTATGCTAATATTTTAGTTAGGTTTCCTTAAGTCTGGAACTCAAATTAAGTCTGTCTGTTTCATTTTTATGATAGCGCTTGAAATCACTTGCAGACAAGGGGCTGTTGGATCGTGAGATTTATGGTAGCAATGCCGCAAAGGTGAAACACATCCTGGGGAAGAGGAAAGCAATATGTATAGCCAATGTTTTTACTGCAGTAAACTTTATGGCAGCATTAAGGGAATAGTTACAAATCAGTTTGATGGTGTTGCTTTCATTGAGAATGAGTATATTTACACTTGCAAGCTTTCTCTTAATAATATCCAGCGTCTTTTATACAATGAGGTTAGTGAAGGTGGAGTCAAAGCATATTTCAAGGGTGACAAAGTCTGTTATTTTTCTCTCCTCGTCCATCCTTTTAATTTACCTTCCCGAAATGAGCTTGAAATAGCCCCTGCAAGTCTCGAGTCAAGGATCAGTTATTTTACTGACCGTTCTTGAAGTTTTTGAAGATGCTGCAGGACCTTTTTTTTTACCCTCAGATGCTTTGATCCAAAGAGGTGTATCCAGGAGCACACATACATATTATCCTTGAAAACAGGGGTACTTAACCTGTGGTCTATGGACCCTTAAGGAGTCTCTGAATGGGCTTCAGGGGGTCTTGTGAACTGGGCACAAAAATGATTTTTACAATGTAATAAAATGTATGCAAAATCTTGTCTGATGTGCTTTTGTCTGCAAAGGGGGTCCAGATTCTCTGAGGGCCCACGAGTCAAAAAAAGGTTAAGAACCACTGTTTTAAAGAGAGGGAGAGAGAGAGAGTCTACTTTCAGCATTAATTTCCTAGGAAGACTATGCTTGAGGATGAATCTTAAAATCATGAAGCACCTTTCAAAAAAACAAAATCAGTGTGAGAAACATTACTGGATCTCATAATGCTCTGCAATAGTTTGCCTTCTTGTGGAGTAAAGCATTTTAAAACATCTCACTTTAACACAAAGAACTAAAAGCATAAGAAGAGCCTGGTGGACTTTTGTTATGCTTTTAGCTAGCCCTGAGCCTAAGCACCCACCTATCCCAGCACCCTGCTCTTCTAGTGGCCAATTAGAT